TGTGTGTGTGTGTGTGTGTGTGTGTGTGTTTGTGTATGTGCCTTTAATCCCAGCAATCAGGAGGTAGAGGCAGGTGGATCTCTGTGATTTCAAGGCCATCCTGGTCTACATAGTGAGTTCCAGGACAGCCAGAGCTATGTTCTGAGACTCTGGCTTGAAAAAGCAAACCAATTATAACAAGAGTTTGAATTTCCATCTGTTGCAAGCCTTCAGATTTCCAGTACAGTATATCATTGAACAAACGTCTTCACATTTGCCTCAATTCACTTCTTAAACCACAACCCCAAACACAATTTTGTGGGGGGGGGATGTTTATTTTCAAGGAAGTATGTTGCTTAATGCCTGACATAATTCTGTAAGCTTTCTGGTACCCAAATAAAATATTCAGTTTGTTAAGAATCTGTAACTTTTGGTGCCAGATATGGTGGTGCACCCTTTGATTCCAGCACTTGGGAGGCAGAGGCAGGTGGATCTCTGTGAATTCAAGGCCAGCCTGGTCTACATAGAGTTCCAGGACAGCTAGAGCTACATAATAGAGGCCCTCTCTCAAAAAGAAAAAAAAAATCTAACTTCTGTCTAATCACCCGAGTTCTCCCTGATTGGCTCAGATGATGCCAGCATTACAAGAAGCAGCTAGAAGCTGTCTGGAGACACTGTGGCCTGCTGGCCTTTCAGGTTCTTAGCACAGATCCCACGAGGCCACAAAAGAGAGTTCATAAGCAAAGGCTGATGTATCACAGGAGATATTTGGAAACTGGATGGGGCTGTAAGTGGCCCATGAGAGGCCAGTGAGATCACGGCACCCTCTCCTAGGTGTTCTTGGTCTGTACCCCCAGGGTTAGGAGAGAGATAGAGCCTTAAGTCATTGCTCACTTCTGAGTCCTATGAGACATTCACTGTAGAGAACAGCCAGGAGGAAGAAGACAGACAGTGTATAGGGATGTGTTTGTAACTGGGACTGGCCACAGCTGACCAGAAACATATACCCAGATTAACAAGATAGTGACAAGACAGTGACATCGCACACTCCCTTGATTACCTCTGGAAGTAAATCAATGGTAAAGATAGAGGTAGGGAGATTTTGTATGCAACACCATGTATCCGCAGTTCTCAACCTGTGGGTCACAATCCCTTTGAGGGTTGACCCTTTCACAAGCGTCACCTAAGACCATCGAAAATACCAGCTATTTCCATAGCAATTCATAATAGTAGCAAAATTTCAGTTGTGAAGTAGCAAGGAAAATTATGTTATGGTTGGGGGTCACCACAGTATGAGGAACCGTTTTAAAGGGTGCCAGCGTTAGGAAGGTGGAGAACCACTGCCTTAGACCATGCTACATTCCTTCCCTCTGGTGTACCTGGCTTATTTCATCAGCATGATGTCCTCCAGTTCCAGCCATGTGCTGATGAATGGTAGAGTTCCTTCTCTTTACAGGGTGGAAATGAGCCAAATTACCTTTAAACACCAATTTTGATGATCTGAGTCTGTACCTGAGAGTAAGATTTCTGGCTACTTAGGAGTTCTACTTTCCACCTTGTGCAGAACCTCCATAATTTTCCTAATTCCCAACACTGGTGTATAAACACCCCTTCCCCCACACCAGCACTTTCCCATCCTCCTCTTCCATAATCACCACCACACAGGAGTCACACATCCTTTTAAAATGTTTTCTAAACATCTGGATGCTATTGTTAGTTTGTTACTTTGAAATTGCTTGTTATATCTACATAGAAATATGACTGCATTTCACACACTGGTCAGGTAGTGTATGAACTTGTTACATTTGTATATTATATTATATTATATTATATTATATTATATTATATTATATTATATTATATATAGATTATGACCTAGTTGTAGATTAGAGTTCTGTGTGCAGACAATTCTTTGTCTGAAACTAACATCTTGGTTCTCCTTTTCCAATCTTTAATGTCTTTTAATTATATTTCTTGTTTAATTGCCCTGGCTGAGACTCTTTAGTACAACATTAAACAGAAATGGTTAAACAAGTTGACATGCTTGTTTTATTCTCAACTTTGGAAGGAAAGTACCAAAAAATCAATATTAAATAATATTATCTGAGTACATATCTGCTAGTGAGATTTCTGGGTCATTAGGACGACATTTGTTGTAGCTTTAACATTTTTATTATATTTACTTGTGTGTGTGTATTGCATGCACACATACACATGTCATAGGGTATATGTGGTAGTAGGAGACAGTTTGTAAGTGTTGGTTTTTACCATCCATCACTTAAGTTCCAAGGTTCAGACTGACGTTACCAGGCCTGGAGGCGGTACCATTAGTCACTGAGTCATCTCTTGGAGCAGGCCCTCCCTGTGCAAGCCCTGGCATGTTTCCTCAGTCTCTGTGAGTCCATACGAACTTGGATCATATTGATTCAGAGGGCCTTGTTTTCTTGGTCCTCCATTCCCTCTGCCTGTTTCCACCTCATCTTCTGATGGGTCACCCGAGCCCTGAAGGGAGGGATTTGAAAGAGACATCCAGTTTAGAAGTTGGTGTTCTGAGGTCTCTCACTCTCTGTATCATGTCTGGCTGTGGGTATTTGTTCACAACTACCCCAGGAGGAAGCTTTTATGATGATAAAATATGGTTGAGCAGGACACTGATATTCTACGATATTCTACCTCTGATTCATTCTGTCAAATCTTTCTGATTTGTCACTTTGTCCTTTAATTGTACATCATTGTTGAAGATTAAAGGTGCATGCCAAGGGTGTGTAACAGAATGTCATTAGGAGTCATTTCATTCTTCCTTTTTTTTTTTTAATTTTAAGAACAGTATTTTGTTTTACCCTAGGTCTCTGTGCTATCTATCTAGTCTCTACTTTTGGTCATCCAAGCAGTGTTGGGTATGGGTTCCATCTGTGGTGTGGGGCCTTAAATCAAATCAGATATTGATTGATTACTCCCACAGCTTTTCCCCCCTCATTGCCTTAACATATCTTGCAGGCAGGACACCATGTAGATCAAAGGGTTTGTGTTTGGGTTGGTGTTTGTTTCCCCTTTGGTTGCATTCAGAGTGCCGTTTTGTACAAAAGACTGTAAAAGAAACTTTTATTCACCAGAGGTAATTGTCTCCGAGGCTTAATGCTGAATACGCTCACCTTTTCTAGTTCTTTCTGAACTCTGGCTGGCTTGTTCAACTCATCTGTTCTGGCTCAAACTCCTATCCAAACTGGCTTCTCTCAGCTTCAAACTGAATTGCTCTTCTTGGCCTCAAACTAACTCTAGGAATCTGTTTTATTTAACCTCTGGCTCCTTCTCATTTTCTGCTCAGTTCTGTCTTAACTTGCAACCTCTCTGTCCTGGTTAAACACCCCCCCCTTTGTGTGTGTGTGTGTGTGTGTGTGTGTGTGTGCTGTTCTTCTTCTACCTTTCTTTCTTGTGATGTTCTTCTGAGAGTTGGCCATATTCTACCTCTGATTCATTGTCAAATCTTTCTGATTTGTCACTTTGTCTGTCTCTTTCTATCTTAACTTGCAACCTGTCTCTATAAAACTGTCCTGGTAAAACTGCTCCCCCTCTCTGTGTGTGCATGTGTGTGTGTATGTGTGTGTGTGTGTGTGTGTGTGTGTGTGTGCTATTCTTCTACCTTTCTTTCCTGTGATGTTCTCCTGAGAGTTGGCCATATTCTACTTCTGACTCATTCTGTCAAATCTTTCTGATTTGTCACTTTGTCTGTCCTTTAATTGTACATCATTGTTTAAGATTAAAGGT